TTCCAATATGCCATTTTTGAGAATTCAATGAATTATTTTATTCTCTAAACAAATTACAAGGAAGAAATATTAGTCCCATGAAGTTAGTAGAGAGATTCTGCTTCAAATGATATTCTTTTCTGTGAACATAGTATAAAGAATACAAATAGTACAACTATTTTAATGCATGCTATAATTATAACATATTTTATGTGACTGTGAAGAGTTCTGTTGATTACTCAGAAGATTAAAATGAATTGCTTGGCCATATTGTAATCTGCTCCAACCTCAGAAAATAGATAAGGCCAAAATTAGTACCAGAATTTTCTAGAGAATAGAAGCAGGGATCTTGAGAGTTCATCTGTTCCACCATCCTGCCTTCAGTGTTGAAGACTGATCAACCAGTTGCATCTGAAAATTCTTCAGAGAGAAAATATTCACATTCAAAGGATGCACTTCTAATTACAGAAGCTGCTGGGACACACAAAATATAAGTACAATTGGATTCCAAAAATCAGACAAAATCTAGGATAAGTAGCATTTTATAGTACTCTATTACTTTGTAGATTTCTTTAAAAAATGTTTTATTAATATGTGTTTGCAGTACATAGTAATTCCATTCATTGTGGGGAGTCACTACATGTATATATCACATCCTAACCTATTTTTACTTCCCCTCCCTCTTTCCTCTCCCCTCTTCTCCCAAGTGTAGACCAGAAATTTTCATCACCTTTCCCTCTCATTGTTCCCGTTAAAATTGTTAGGCTGGCTTGGGTTGTTTCCTGACTTCCATATAAATATATCCTTCAATGCTTGCCCTAAAGTAACCTTTAAATTCCAGCTGCTTTCTTCTTTTCCTTTATCAGATGCCATAAAGTCTTCATGCAGTATAGCTTCCCCAGTATTCTTCCCTGTATCCTGTGACAGCAGCGTCAGATGTCCTGTGTGATAACACTGAAAATCCACTGAATCCAGTTTTGCTCTTTTTAACCGTGGATTTGTTTGAAGTATCCTTTCCCCATCTTAGTGTCTTGTTTCTATTTTCAGATTACTTAAAATTCTTAACTGTATTATTTTTCTTCCTTGTATTTATGCAGTTATAATTTTGACAGTTGCTCTGCAATTTTTTTTTTTACCATCCTGGCCAACTTTCTTCCATTTCTTCTCCCAAATGTCCATCAGTGTCATGTCATAATGACCATATATGGCCTAAACCACCTGACAATCTTAAACACATTTTATATGTTGTTTGAAATGTGTCCCTACCTCTCACATGCCAATCTCTTGCTAATGTCTGTGCCTTGGGATGACTTAGTCATCTTGTCTCTACCAAGCCCAGCCCAGGCCCCAATTCCTCCTTAAAACTGTCTTAAAGGCCTGTTGTGATTTACTGGTGTACAAGCTTTCTTTGACATTTACATGTAGTATTCTGCATTATCTCTCAAAAATTCATTGTGATATGCTATGCTATTTTCAAACTGACTTAACTTTGTAAGTCTTACCTCTAATGACAGAGTAATCTCCTTGATTACAGAGATGGTACTACAAAATTTCACAATTACCTCCTGTCCCTTCACCCCACCATAGTTCAGAAAACACTGGAGATGCTTAATAATTGTTGATTGAACCAAATTATCAGTCTATCCATTGAGTGCATTAGCAAATGTTTACTAATTTACTTTGTCTAAAACTGTAGTTCCTTTCTTGCTTAATTACAAAATAACTTCTTAGAGACCAATTTTCCCCCTTGAAGATGACCAAGATTAAGGTGTATCTTATGATAGAGGATCAGATGCATAATTTGCTTTTTATTTGTATTTAAAATTTTTATCAGTATATCTTTGAGATACATAATGAATCCATTCATCATGGGGTATTGGTACAAACACATACTGCATTTTGCTCCTTTGTACTTCCTAATCTCTTCTTGTTTTCTTTTTAAATCTCAAGCTACTAAGGGAAAGGAAAAGCATCAAATCAGAAGGTTTTAGAAAAAACTGGGTTCTTAGTGTTAGAGTTATGAACCATAAATGACAAATTCAGAAGCCAGGGGCAGGCATTGAAGTGCTGTTCCCAGAATGAGAGGGTTGGAAGTGAGGATGTAGAGGTAAAACAAATAATCAGACATATATAGGGAATAGTACCTAGCTGGAGGATGAATATCCTGGGATGGTTTCAGTAATAACTATAGTCCGTGGTTTCCACAAAAATAAGGTTTAGAAGCCAGGATCAGGCATAGTGCTTGTGTATGCAGTGTAAGTTAGCTGAACCACCAACCTCGGGTAGCAGGACCAGCACCTGTTGGTGCTTGGTTGCTGAACGCATTTGCTCCTTGCTTATTCCTCATAGCTTAATTACTGCACAAGATGGCCTGTGGTCCCCCAGGAGAAATGCGTGCCCCCAAGGTCTTCTTAGCTTTGGATGTCACATAAGGAGCCACCCCAGAGACTTCCTGCTTCCGGTTGGCAGAGCACTTTTGGAGCTGTTTGAGGAAAGGTATTAGAGGAAAGCACATCAGTGACATTAGCTAATGTGTTTTCCCCTGTTCCAAGGCAGCCACGTATTCGAACACATGGTATTAAAAGGATGCTTTCCCCACTGATATGATTTGAAAATCTTAGCAGCTCAATTAGCTAATACAAAGTTACACAAATGTTTATTAAACACCCCAGTTATTAGTTTTTATTATTTCTAATACATTACTTTAAAACATAACAAACTTCCTCTTGTTTAGTGCATAAATACTTTAAGAAACAAATATCCTTTTCTGAAATTCAATTTATAGTCTATATTTTGGGATCAGAGAAAGCTAATTGAAATAGCCCAACCATATAAATCAAATTAACTTAAAATTTAATTCTTATTTTTGAAAAATCTCATTGCAAACAAAGGATAACCTCACATGCATAATGAGGTACAGGATTAAGACAGCCATTTAGTTAATTCAAGCTAAAAATCTTCTTTACTGTAACTTTAATTAATATCTTAGGCAAAAGTACCAAAGTCTAATTTAATCTAGAAAACACTGGCTTTTAATGGAAATTTTCATGGATGTAAACGCTGACAGTATTACTTTTCTAAAGAGATTTGTAATTTAAATTTTAGTATTGATCATGACTATTAGATTTATAGACTTCAATTTCCAACCTTCTCTTAATGAAAACAGTTCTTCTAGATAAAGGTATTAATAATTATTTTTAAAGTAAGAAAATCCCCTTAACACTTACACATCACAGATGTATTCCTTAGTACAGCAGTGTTTAAGCATTGTTAGTCTTACTTTGCACACGGTAGACCATGACTATTTAGTACCTTCCTTCAAACTTCTGTATGTCACAAATATACTTTGTAAGGTAAGACAGATGATGATCAAAAGCCAAGTCAAGGGCTGCCTGAATAATTTATTTTTTCTACTCTAAAGCAGGACATTTGTTGCTATACAAACTTTAATTAGCTTATTTTTTGCTAATGTTATATTAATGATAGGCTGTAGTGATTCTCAAAATTAGTTTGTGCAAAATGTTTAAAAAACTGTCCACTCCAGACTCCCATCACAGCCCTACTGAATCTGAATCTTTACCAGTATGTCCTAAGACATCTATATATTATTAAATCTTCCCAGATGAGCTCAGTGGATGGTAGGGATGAGGACCATGCCAGGATGACTAATTTAAAAGTAGCACATAATGGGACAACACTTGAAAAAACATTGAAGTATTTAATTGAATGCAAATGTTTAAATTAATCATCATATTTTGGCCATCTTTACATTGACTATTTTTTTTACCTCATTGTCAATGAGAGTTACTATCCTTTCAACATTTTTTCTCTATCCTGAATTTGAACAAATTGTAACAGCTTTTTGGAAGTGGCATTATTGAGTTAGAGATGAATTGCTATTGGAGACTAGTTTGAAGATATCCTTCTTGGTTAGGGACAAAATCTAACTCATAAAACAGTGCTTGAGAATATATTTTTAAAAACCAAGCAATTTTCTGAATTTTGCTTCTTTTGGGGTAAACAAACACAAAAGACACTGAGAGATTAGATTTTTCCATAATACCCAGAAAAATATAAAATGAATGTACCAAAATAAGAAAAAGAAATTCTGTTATTTTAAAGAAAAAATGCCTTATACTCTAACAAAGAGGGAAAAAAAATCACAGGGGAAAGGTAATGTATTTTAGAATTCTAGGTAATGTATTTGAAGAATTCACTTTCCTGGAAGATTGTTTTTTTAATTTAAAGGGCAGAAATTCCGACTCACTGTTTATTTTGTCAGAAGTGTATAACTCTATTGAGAGGACAGTGAAGACTTAGTGGAGATCTCTGCTTCAGAGTGACCGGTATCTTCTGATTCCTGTTGCTGACGTCTTAGTAAGGGAGATGCAGAGCGCAATCATCTCTCCTTACAACCAGCCCACAGACACTTGCAGTCACTCAGCTCCCCAGCTCTGCATTTGATGTTCCCACTTCAAGGCGGATCCTTTGACCTAAGCAGATTAGTGTAGAGGCATGAAGGACACAGTCAGCTAGCCTAGCTTTTCAAGGAAGAGATTTGGCTCCAAATAGGACACTAAGCTTTTCAGACTTCGGGTTATTTACCTTGTCAGCAGGATGTAGTGTCTCTGGTTGCTTAGTGGTCTCCTGGGGAATCAGGGGAGAAACAAAGGGAGAAGTGGCAGCCGCTGCAAATGTGGGAGTCTGTACCATTAAAGGAAGCAGTTGCTAATAAGGACCTGTGAGACCTAGGTTTCCTTGGTTTCCATGACAGTTATTAGGTACCATAGAAATTGCATTGTCTCCCACAATGCTCTTAGGGGAGAGGAAGTGCTCCAGTGACAAAGCAGTACAGTTATGACTAGCAGTAAATCGTCCTTTTGAGAATGCAATACTCCCTGGATTATTTGCTCTTGCATTTTCTTTTAAACTCCCCTTTCAAGGTGCTTGACATTTTGGCCAGAAAACCCTGGCTTCTGTTGTACAGTGTCTCAAACACTATTTTTCCCCTTTTTATTTAGACCTGAGCTTGGCAAAGCAAGGATATGAACAATTGTGCAGGTGGGCTACTCGGGGTGAGTGAAGAGATCAGGCATCCAATCAGGGATTGGCAACCTGCAGCTGTGCCAATATGCCCCTCCACCAGATTTCCGTAATCCCAGCCCGGGAGACTGCCAGCAATGGGAGAAGTTCAATGGGCAGAAACAAAGAGAAGAACAAGGAAGTCGAGGTAAGAGGAGAATTGACTTGACAAAATAAAAAAACTGAACCAGTGTAGCCAATGCAGCTCTTGTGATAGTAGATGCAAGAGGAGAATCTGTTACTAGCAGAGATGTATAAAATGTAAACTCTTTTCTCCATAAAGAAAGGCACCAAATTTATAAGGACACTTGCTATTTGACAGATACAGACTTCTGCCTCTTTTTCTAAACCCAATTGACACAGTCACTTTTGAGTTTCATGGCTCAAGGGGTCCAACCTGGATGTCCTGTTGCTGTCATCTGTTTTCAGACAGTGGAACAGTTGAAGCTTACTAATTTTGCTCACCGCCCACGAAACTATAGCATTTGAGAATAACTTTCTTAACTAAGCAGCAGAGATGTCAGGGATAGGAAAGCTGTGACACCACATACATAGGGTGAATTAGTTCCCTGGAGGATCAGTTACTTTCTATTCACTGGTGGTACAAGGATGTGTATGACTTGTGTGTTGTCTGTTCATTTGTATTTTATTCTTCATTTAAAAACCCGTTATTTGAGACTTAACATAGACATAACTTATTATGTGTAGGCAACATTTTGGAGTAAAATTTAGCAACTGTTTTACTGCTTCAAAGAGCAGATGCTGCAAATTTATTTCAAAGGTTTTAAGAAAAGAATTGAATGAAGTAAAGAAAACACCTAAGTACTATTGTGTTCTGCTAAAAGGAAGTTTGAGATAGAACTTCAGACACTATGATACTCTTGTATCTTTAGTATAACTATTGTCTAGTCCTCATTAATTGTGCAGGAAATAAACTTTCTCCACCTCTAGGTCTGTAAACGTTTTTTTCAAGGATAGGTAGTAGGGACAGAGGAAACAGCAATGAAAACAAAAGAAAAAAGACACAAGAGTCAAGGAGTTCCTAAGAGGAAAACAATAATGAACTTAAATATATTTGTAGTTGACAAAAGTCAATTATAGAGTCTCTCTACTTGCACTGATTTTTAAAGTGTCATTCAAGATCAGTAAGTTTTGTGTCTAGAATTTGCAGAAAACTTTAGTAGAATTTTCTGATGAATTAGTGTGATTTCTGTGTCATTCACACACAAAGTGTTTCTAGGAATGAAGTATATTTGGTAAAGAAACTTATCAGCTCAATATTAATTGGAAATATTTCTGTAATGTGTCTTTTCCTATGATTGGTAATGTGATTATTAGAATAACTAAGAGCTATCTCTTAAGTTCATTGTTGTGGGGTAAGAGCAAAAGGGGACACTGATCCATTTTTAAAATAGATATGAAATATTAAAGCAATATTTACAAAAAGTTATATGTAATTTACTGATATTCGAAATCTTTGGATAAATTTAAGATTTATTGAAGAAAATTTTGTATAAAGATATTGGGCAGCAGTTTTGTTTAGAATCTACAAGGATCAGAAATAAAAATATTGTTTCAGCTCTAGGTCTTCATCAGAAATCTCCTGCTGTTGATTTCTACTTGGCATAAAAGAGATACACTGGGGTGGCTTACATGATTTTTGAAAAAAAATTTTCTGTGTAAGAAATAATAACAAAACTATTCTGCCTCATGTAAAATATAGTCTCAGTCTGGTTCAATACTGGTTCTAATACACATCTTCAAACATCCTTACAAACATTTTAAAGTAACCACATATTAACAGTTCTTTCTTTCCAGGGCAAAAAACAATATTATGACTCAATACAGTGCGTTTGGCCCTTGCTGAGCGCAAGGCCAATAAGCACAAGCAGAAGATAAAGGTTTATTACTTGCAGCAGGTAAGGAGAGGACTGGAATTCTTTTGCAAAGCAGTGTTCTTCCCAAATAAAGCAAGGAGCTTTCATTGGGGGAAACGGATACGTGTTTATCCAGGGAACTTCATCACTGGTAGAGGCGGGCACATTCCGGCGCATGTGCAGTTCGAGGTCATAATCATGTGTTCAAAAACAAATGGCGGAGCCAAACACTTCTGCCTGGAGGATTTGTGTTGCAATGAGCAAAGTTTTTTCCTAGTCATCAAAAAAGAGTCAAAATGATTTAATGTTGGCTGATTGTTTTAAGTTTCTCCAGTGAGCCTTAGTTGAAACAAAAAAGGAAAACAACTTTGAGGGCATGTTAATAGTCTCTGAAAGGGCAGCAGCCTTTCTTCAGTAAGTGTAGGAACTCCTCTCTAAAAGTGCCTGCCTCACCTAACAGTTAACAATATTTCACAGTGGGAGTCAATGGGCCTTCTAAAAGCAAAATTAGGTTAATTATGAGAAAATGAAAAGAAACTTGCAGCCTACGGATTATTTTAAAAAGAGATAGAGTTCTGAATGTCAGAAGATGAAACACGTTTAAGATTTCAAATGCTTCTTGGTTTTCTATAGAATGAAGTTAAAAGTTTTTCTTTAAAGAAGTGTTTGAAATATATTATTAAATCCTATATGCCATTAAATCACTTCTTTGGTGAACTAGTGGAAAAGAATGGTGAATGTCTTTTAAGATGGATAAATTAAATAACATACATCCTGTGTGCTAGAGAGCAAGACATGCTTGTATTGTACAATGACTTTTGTAATTTCAGGTGATGGTTCCCTCTAAAGGAAAATAAAACTCTTGTACTTTTGTGGACGTTTCTTGGTTGAATATCTTCTTTGAGGAACATCTTCCTTGAACATTTCCTTAATGTGTTTTGCCAGCCTTAAAATTATTCAAAGAATCCATATGCACACTGAGGAAATGATCCAATTGCAGAATTAAGGATTTGCTAATTTAAACATGAGCCAATTTAATTTCTGTTGCACAAGAAATTAAGAAACCCTTGAATCAGTTAACTAGATATCAGATATTTTTTGTTTGTTTGGGGGCACATAAAAAAAAAGAAAATAGAAAAGTTATTCATTAATATTCATACAACTCAGAAGACATAAGCTATAAACAACTAACAGATTAATATTAAAAAAGATTCTAACTTCAGGTGTAATAAAATACATACTTTGCCATGTTTTGCATTCCATGTTTTAATTATATATGTATATAACCCTGGAAACACAAAAAACAAAGCATGATGAGCTTCTGTGGAGTTGATGTTAAGGGTGACGGAAGGGATGTAGTTCCACTTTGTGAGGCACCAGCTCCAGACATTGCTTTGGGAGGTAAAGGACAATGTCTTATACTACTTGATTTCATTAGCCAGAGTGACTCCAGCCACCACTTCAATAAAGGTGTAGAGTTAGTGGAATGCATTTGGTCAAATTTAAAAATTTATATCTGAAGATAATCTATCTAAATTTAGCGATACAGTGCTTAAGTGTAAGTCCCAGAGAGGGGAAATTAATAATCAGACTATCCTTAGTATGGTATAATCAATGGGGGAAGTGGAATGATTGGGTTGGGAAGTAACTCACCTATACCTTGGAAAAACCATGACCTTGGGAAAGCTTTGGGAGAAATAACCACTCTAAAGAGGTTTGAAGTTTCAGATTTCTTATTCTCTGATTGAGGTTAGAGACTGACAGTTTCATTTGCCTCCTTTGTTAAGTGGGCCACTTTCCTCCTATTAATCCCTTCTTTCCCTTAATTTTTAGCTATGTTAACACCACTTATTAAGCTGTAATTAATTAATGTTAGAGATTTGATCCTAAAGAAAATCTGTCTCTTACAAAGGGGATGAATTTTATTAATCATGTTCTTAGCCCTCTAGGGATACCTTTACTTCCTACTCTATACCTGGAAATTATAATCATTGCATGTACAATTTTATAAATTTAGTATTTCATGAAACTCAAGGACACAGTCTTTATAACTTGCTGGGACTTGTCAGTAAATGTAAGATTCACTGTGTTTCGAATGTGGAGACAACAGGGATTCTACTAAGGCTTCTGCTGTCACCTGGATCACATGTTGCTTCAATCTCCACACCTGAGGTGACAGGGGTCACAGCAGAGGGGAAAGAGGCCAGAGGCCTTTCTTTCCAATCTTTTTTTTTTGCTTAAATTCTTTTATTGGTACATTTTAGGTATACAGTATGTTTACATTTATCATTGGGTTCTTGTACCTGTTCATGATGTATCTTGGTTCTTATTTTTTCCCCATTACCTGTGCACCCTTCACCCCTCCACCCTACCCTATTTACATATTTCATTTCCATTTTTTTTTCTTTTATCATAATTTTTTCTTTCCATTCTTTCTTTTCCCCATCTCCTCCCACCACCGCTACCCCTTTGGACCTTTTCCTGTTTCAAAGTATCAATTATTAGTTATTAATCCTTTTAATCCTTATTTACACTCTCAGTTTCTCACACTAGAGAAACTATT